AATTGGTTTTAATTCTAACATCTCTAAGTTGTATAATGAGAAGTGTTTATCGTATTTGCTTGCAGCTAACTATGCATTATCATCTAACATTTTACATACAAGTTCGTAGATTTTATATTGCAAAATATAACCTGAAAGCTTTCAAAATTCAAAATAATCAAATTAAATTTATATTTAAAGAATATCAATTAAATAACATCTTTTTTGTTTTTGCATGACTTAATACTATATTACTACCACTTTGTAACACCCCTGTAGCTAAATACATTACATTTCCAGCTACTAAAAATATTTTTTATTTTGTTATTATTGAAAGTCATTAAATTATGGGTTATCATTGCAAGCACTAAGTGATTGTTAGTGTCGGAAATAATTTTCAAATAAGCTATTCCATAATGTAATAAAATTTTTAATACAACAAAAACTTATTACTTAGGCAGCAAGTTTAACACTTTTTAATAAATATTTTGTCAACTTTGTCCTCATAGAATAAATAAGCAATATGGTTCCACTGTATAAACCTACCATCCTTACATAGGATGGTAGGTTTATACAGTGGTTTATACATCTTTTTTAAGTCATATTTAAATAAGAAAGTAACGAGTTGTCTTATTTTAATGTGGTGAATTAGGCATAAACGAAGTTTATTATAATTTAGTTTGCGAATTTAGATTGCTTTCTAAAGCAAAAGAAACATTTGTCATGCAGTGGCACCCGTTGTAAAAATCAAGTATATCATCTAGATTAGTCAAGTATATCATCATACAATGCAGCTGACTTTGAAACTAGATAATTAAAATGAAATATCTCATTTTAGTTAAACATAACCTTAGATTTTGGATTATTTTTCTGCATTCAACAAAATAGATATTAAATTATAGCTTAAAATCAAGATTTGAAATAATTCTGTAATATTCTTTTAATACACTGTACTTTTTTTATAATTAAATTAAATTTGATTTATGTATGATAATGATGCAATATTTGGTAGCAGACTTTTGCATCATCTTTATTCAGGTTTGCCACTATAAATTTAAAAGTTTTCCCCTGAGTATTCTCTTAGTTAAATACTATGACTATGTTTTAAACAAATTTTCAATGTTGATACAATGTTGATTTTTGGTTATATGACGTCACGACTAAAAATCAACCGTAAATCAACGTCGAAATAACATCGTGTGCCCACTGGGTGGATTCGTAGTTCAAACCCCACCTCTGAGCAAGTTTTAGAAAGGAGGCGTGAACTTCCAATTAAATGCTTATCCGCGGTGCTCCGTGATATGACCGTAAGGACTTCTTGGGGCACCTAAATGAAATTAAAAAAAAAATGACTAAATTTAAAAAAATACTTTTTTAAAAATTTGATCAATTTTTAATAGAAAAATTGAATTTTTGGCCCTTGTCAAACTCTGTCCAATTTTGTAAAAACTTCAAATTATTGATTAAGAATCACTTAACCATTTATGGTTAAAATCATATCCCCTACGTCCCCCTGTCAAAGTTAAAACAATTTCTTGGTCATTCTGAATTGCGCAGCAAATTTACGTACGTTGCCGTATTTTTATCGCAAAAATTTAAACGAAAAATAAGTAACTAAGATTTTTGCAAGGAAATATCCAAGGATTTAAAAGTTAGCAAACTAAGATAAAAAATTGCAAGGACATAACTGTTGATTAGGATATTGCACAAAAAAGTTGGGTATTCATTGGAAAGCCTAAAATTTAAACTATGCAATTAGCATGTTCATTTTTACGCAATGTTTTCCAAAATTTTGCATTTTTGAAAACAATTTTGAAAAAGAAAAATACAATCTGGCAAACTAGAGGTCTAGTATACCAAGGACGTATTAACAGATGGACGTTTAACCCATTGTTATAGATCTGAGGCGCCGCAAGTAAACAAAAACCTATGCGAGCTATAATTTTTAGCGTCATTTTTCTTAATAATTTATAAAAGTAAACCGACGTTTTTCCGATAATTTCCCTTTTCTCACTACTTTTTTTAAAAAGTACAATTACCTACAAAACTCTAACTTTTTTTTAAAAATTAATGCATAATAGTTATACAGAAACAGCTCATCTGTTTTAAAATGTCAAATTTGATACGTGAGCGCTTTTTAATAAGAACTTATTATTAATAAAACGTCAAAAATCATATTTTTGTAAAAAAGTGATATTTAATTTGCTAGAATGAATACTGCAAAGTGAAACGAATTTTCTAGATGTTGTAGGTATAACTGTAAATCATATATAGATCGAACTATAGATTACTTGTGGTCTCTATTCCCTACACTTAGTTTTCACTATTATTTTAAGTATTTAAATTTCTCATTTTTGTCGGAAATTTTGTCTCACTTACAATTTTGTTTTAATATTTTTCTGTGATTAACTTTTTTTTTCCATGTAAAGATTTCGCTTGAGTTTATAGATCATATAATGAAAAGGTTTTATTTATTTAAAAACTTTTTAGATTTTTTAGGTGTAATGGAATGTTTAAACATTTCTTAGGCTAGACGAGACTATCGTTATTTTGACGTATAATCAAGTAAAAATATTCTCAAGTTAAAAATAGTTCTCTATTGTTTTGCTATTGTTATTTGTAACAATGAATAGCGCGGATATCTTGGCTTTTAAACAATACGTTAAACGTCCATCTATTAATACGTCCTTAAGTATACTGAATACCTAACTTTTTTGCGCAATATCCTAATCAAAAGTTATGTCCTTGCAAATTTTTATCTTAGTTTGCTAACTTTTAAATCCTTATAAATTAACAAAGAAAAAGTGACATTTAAAAACATATGCGCATGCGTACATTTTCAAATTTTATCCGGTTTTTAACATAAACAAACTTACTTACACTAAGTGATAAAAACCGGAAACAAAACTTTTATTTGTAAATTTTACTTTTTCTTATTTTGTATGTTGCAAACCATAAATATTATTGGGTGAAAAAGATTCAATATGTATATAAATTGGTTGCCAATCATTAAATTGTAAATTAATCTTTAATTTCAATGTAATAGAAAGAGAGTGTGTTTCTGTCTTCGATAATAATAAATTTTTATAAAAAAAAAAAACTTAATTTGATTTAACGATATTATATTCAAAGTTTATTTCACTTTTTATCTCATAAATATATAGTTCATAAATATATTTTTTTAAGTTACATTTTTAAATTGATTTTTATAAAAATTACAATTAAAAAATAATTAAAAATTTATTTTTTAATTTAATTTTTTTAATTTTTATTATGTTTATATTTGCAAATATTTTTTTAAATTTGTATATTATTTTACATATTTTAAATGTTTTATTTAGATAAATTATATATTTATAATATTTAATATTATAATAATATTTGCATAAATTTTTTTAATTAATGCAATATCTAAATATAGCATTTAAAATATGAAAAATAATATATAATAGTGTAGCTGCAACTGTAAACACATTCACTTTCCTTATTAGTCTAAGAAAATTCCACTGCACGAAAAATTTAAAGAATTTACTGGTTATTAATTGAAACCTGGAGCTATTTTCAAAACTATTTTTCATCAGTTCTTAAATTTTTTAGACATTGCTTTTCTTTAAAAAATACAAAAATTTTATTTTAGTTAGCAGAGTTGTGTCTTGTCATTGCTATTGTATATTATTTAAGTAACACAATTGTATATTTTTTACCTTTTTTTTTCTTTAAAATTAAATCCAAACATTTTGCAGAGTAAAATATAGTATTTTAAAAATTAAATTACCTAAAAACAAGTTATTAGGCATTAGCATATATATATATATATATATATATATATATATATATATATATATATATATATATATATATATATATATATATATATATATATATATATATATATATATATATATATATGTATTACTTTACAAGTGCTTGTAGTAATTAGATACGCTCATGATAATTTATTTTGTTCAATTATTTGTACTTAGCTATCAGTAAGTCAATGAATAAGTATAAAACATCATGTCTATTTTGTTAGTATGTCTTTTAGTTGTTTTAGGCAAATATATATTTAATTTGGAAGTTTTTTATAAGCAACAGTTAAATTTTACTGCAAAAAGCCTAATAGTTCAATACCATTATCACTGTGTCATTGCAAAGATATTTCAAACCCAACTAGTGTTGAGATCTCAATCAGAAAATAATATTTCCTTTTGACTTCTGGGTATATCAAACTAGGTGAAGCAGTCTGGAGTGATTTTGTTTTTTATTTAATATGCATATGAAATATAAATCTTAAGGGTTATTTGATCAGTTTTTGATCAATTTTTGCACTGTCTACTTAAGAGGGAGGAGTTCAACTTTAGTTCTTAGTTTTAACTATTTTAGCTTGCTGCAAATTTATTTATACATGTCAGTTAGTCAATCTATCTTTAATGTTTTTTTTTTGTGTTTACCTTTATTTTATAGATATAAAAATCCCTGCTTTTTATAGTATATACAAGTTTTTTGAAAAAATTATTTCAATTATGTACTATTTTATTAGAAATACCATTTCATTAATGAAGTAACTGCATAGCAATAAAGTAACTGCATAGCTTATTGTTTAGTGTGCTATGTACTATGTGTAAGTAATGTTCTCTATAATCATTTAAAATATGGCTATAGTGTAAAAAGATTATAAGTGAAAAGTTAATATACAAACTTTTCAAATTATTTGGATTTGTATTTTTCAAGTATTGTTGTTTTACCTACTAAAACACTATCTAACCAAAAAGAAAAGTAGTATCTTTTTACTATAACTGTTCCTTCATTCTCAAAATACTTTTATTTGATAAGTTCTTTTTCTTGAACATCAATGCTTTAGAATTTTGTCTCTTATTTTAATGCTTCCCTGTTAGCTTCCCTATTAACTTCCTTGTTAATAGTTAACTTTTTTTTAAAGTGTTCTGTCAACTATTTTCTTGTATTTTAAGTGTTGCTAAATCTATTAAAGCCAAATTTCACATGTTTTAAGTGAAACCAAATCAATTTTAAATTATTTTTTTTAGAAAAAAAATATAAAAAATTAATGAATGAAGTTTATTGTAGCAGATAATATACTTATATATTAGTATCAAGCACACAAAATGGGTACTCTAGGAGCGTAAGTCTTTTTTTTGTTTCTTTTTTATTTTATAAGTTTTATATATTAGTTTGCAAAATGCAAGTATAATGCATTAAGGGCAAGATTTTTGTTTGAAACTGTATTAATTGTTCCATTTTGTGACACTCCACTCTAGCAGGCTCAGAGACTGGCAATATTGTTTTTAGCCACTAGACTATCAATGCACTTTGATGACACCATTTTTCATAAGAGACAGTTAGAGTTTTTCACTTTTAAGTTAGATAGCTTGATTGGTATAAATTAAAATAGGTGAACCAAATAATGATAAGATTATGAGGTGCTTTAAATGTTATCATAGCATTGTGGCCTAAATAAAGGTAAGGTAAAGTTTTTTTATGTGTTGTACAATTAATAGTTGTTTACTTTTTGTGATTGAATTTTTTATTAAAGCATAGTTTTTTTCATAAGTTGACTAAATTATTAATGAATTTTTTATACAAAGTACATATTCTGATTAGAACTTGATGTTAAGATTGTTGTAATTTATAATTTCGCACAAGATTAATTTTATACAAAGGCTTAGGATCCCTGGTAGAAATTTTTCATATTAAAATTGTAATTTTTTGTTTTTTTTAAAAAGTTCTTGTTCAGTTTAACTAATGTCTGTCATAGATATTTTAAACAAAAATCGATGTAAGAAGTTTCTTGTTAAATATTAGATGTTATAAAAAACTTTTGACAGTAATAAAAATAAATTAACAGGGATGAATGAGTTTTATTATGTACATTTGTTACATCAATATTATGTTATTATTGTTCTTCTTGTTTTTGTTATTGTTAGGAAACAATGTAAAGTAATAATATATATATTTTTTTATGAACAGAATTATTGGAATGTCCTTTCTTTGTGCGATAGGCATTTTGTTGTTGGTTTTGGGATGCTCACTTGATAAATTCAAAACCGAGAAAGG